CTCCTTTTCCAGATTTCTTTAAGCCTGGATTGTTATCCTTAGGGACACAGATGTCTCGAGGAATGAGAAATGCAAAGGTTTGAACTAGTGCTCCCCAATTTGTTGGTGACATTTATGGTCTTTGTAGAGCCGTTTGCAGAGAACGCAAAGTAGTTCTGTGTTACATTTACCCCAAAGTGTATCAACAATGTGGTGAATGGACAATTAAAAGACTCTAAGGAACAAGCTAGGGATGCAGTGAGCTGCTTTGTGTAGTTGTACTTACAGAGATCTGCAGTTTTTAATAATTTGGAAAACCAAATCTTAGAGATGCTGTGCTCCCCAAGCGGTTTTTCTTAATCTTTCCTGAAAGGTACCCAGTCTCATTAAGTACTTCCTAGCTGTATAATCAAATAGGAGCGCTCTGGGTAAATATAAACTCAGTATGATATTTTGATATCAATGAGAGGAAGCAGAGAGAATAATTTTTTTTTTTTTTTTTTTTTTTTAGAGACCAGAACACAGAATGGTAATCCTTTTTGAATATAATGAAACTTTATGGAAATTGTAGTGAGATTTTAAATGTAATGTTCCAAAAAAATTTCTTTGCTATTTTTTATTTTCTCAAAATCTAAATGGCAAGGGATTCTTTTTCAGGATACATAACATTTGATTACCATGCAGTTTTTTTGGTGACCTTCTTTTTTCGCATCCTGCTGCTCTGTTTGACAAGCAGAGGAAGACTCGTTTTTGCAAAGATTGTATCTGGACATCTTCCAGAAGGATGGCAGATGTAAAGGTGGCAGAGGGGACAGACAGACACAGGTACTGTGGGATTCAATGTCTGGGAAAACTCTCAAAGGATTTCTCTGTAAATTTAGCCTAGAGGCCTTTGAGAATTGCTTCACAGTTGACTTTTACCAGCCAGCCTGTGTATAGAAATCATTATACCCAGCATGAGGGTCTCCCTGCTCACAGTACACCTTCCCAGGCTGGATGCCAGTCCACAGGGAGTATATACATCATATTGCTTATCACAGCTTTGAAAGTTTGCTTCATACTCCTTTTTCTTTAAAAAAAAAGAAAAAGAAAGAAAAAGAAAAGGGAAAAGGAAAGAAAAAGAAAAGAAAAACTGTGACTACTTGATTTCTTGGGAATATTTGCAGATTACTGTGCATTTACATAGGCTGTTCTATTTAGTCACTGATTTTAATTTAATTTTTCCAGTGATCAAGGTTCTGTTCAGGCTTCTGAGGGTGAGTAAATATCTATCGATTTGGATTTCTGATAAATTCTAATTTTGACCACTAGGCTCTTAAGCCTGGAGAAGAGGTCTCATACTTGCATATTATAAATTATAATAGTAATAAACAGAATGATAGCTGTTAACTTACTGAGTTTTTGTCAAGCACAGACTAAATGTCATATCAGTCAGTCTTTCTTAGACCTCCCTGTGCATAAGAATATCCTTCAGAGTCTGTTTCAGTAAGTCTGTGATAAGAAATCTGCAGTTTAAGAAGTACCCCAGATGAGACCTTGGACTCTGTCTTGAGACAAACTTTGCTTTTTGTTCATTGTCATTTAAAATCCTTGCAGTAATCCTGTGGAATAGATGCTATTATGATCTCTCTTTCATAGATGATGAAGGGTAGGCTCAGAAGAGGTTCACTAAACTCCCTAGGTCACACATCTATAAGTGAGCACGCAGGGGACCTGAACCTGTGACTGTCCAACTCCAGAGTCCATGTGCTCAAGCTTCTTCTGCTCTTGGTAGTTGGGGGGTCTTCTCTTTACAATTTGGACCTACCGATCCCTCACCTAACTCTATTTGCTGACGGCCCCCTCTCTAGGATGTTGGTGTTCTGGAGGCGGCAGCAGCCCATGAGACCCTTTGATACGTTACACTGTGGCAGAATTTAGGAAGACTGGATGGAGGTGTGGGCATTGGCGTTAATATATGAGGAGTGTCCAGCTAATTTGCCTTGAGTTCTCCATCTACTGAACCGAGACAACTCAAGCTGAGACTGATTTCTTTGTGAAGTGCTTTTAATTCCCTTAGCTTTTGGAATCTTTAAAGCAGCTCTGTGCCCTTCAGGTGGCCCTTTCACAGTTCCCAATGCCACTTCCTTTCTTCCTATCCAGACCCTCCCCCACAGAGTCCCCCACAAGACCCTTCTCAGACCACATGCCTAAGAAGGTTGAAGCCTCTTCCTAATGCCTATGACTGACTCCACCTGCATTCCCCTCTTTTCCCTCTATTTCCTGCATAAACCGCTCCCACTATGGTTAATTCCTGCAGAAAGCAAATGCAGAGGGTATGTTGTGAGAAGAGAGGCAGAGATGAGAAGGAGTCTCATTTAGGCCTCTTGCTTAATTCCTTCTTGGTCTGACCTGATTTGTCTTGCCCCTGGGCACACGGACCAGTGCTGATTTATCTGGCTTAATTGCTGCAGGATTGTGGTACAGAACAAACCACTTAACCTCATGAGCTTTGCCTCCATTATCTGTAAAATGGAATGCTCATGTCAACCCTTTCTCCTTTGAGTACAAGTGACATAATGTCTGTGGAAGCACTTTGGACTTTGTTCAAACACATTTTAAAGACGTGATCATGTTGCCTTCTATTAATGGTTCCCATACTGTGTTCTAGGGAGCACCTGCTTGGCGAATTGCTCTTCCAAACAAGAAAGCAAAAAATGGTTCCTTGTATATTTGGAAATGTAATATCTTGCCTCTCCCTTTTAAGAAATTACACTTCATGCTTGTGTATTAGAGGCTTCTAGCCCTAGAGCAGAGAAACCTGACTTTGCATTTGACTTTGCATTTTCCATGCTAACGTGACCCGAACCACTTTGCAGCCTCACCTGTTAACTTGCTGCAGAACACACTTCGGGGAAGCTACTAGGCTTCAAAATGTTGGTTCTCCTACTTATTTTAGTCTGTCTTCGGATAAGTCA